TTATATTCAATTCACTCCATCTTTTCCGAGCTTTTCCAGTTCAGTGAAACTGCTATTAGAATGAAGATGCTATGAGATTTGTGAGGAGTGGTTAGGCTAATGTTGCTTAGCCTAATTACCTACAGGAAATCGCTACTGTGAACACATTAAAAGTGATTTTTAAGTACAACTTGTACAAGATTCAAACAAATTCAGACAACTAACCCCACCCTCCCAGGAAAACAACCTTTGTATCTTTTTGCAAATTGTTTTTAACCTGCAAGTGTGATCCCATGCTGGTTACAGATATAACCTTGAATAGATTATTAGAGATGACAAATTATACCACTTGGGGGGGCCGGGAGGGGTTTAAAAGTATTATGATGGATTTTTTTATCTCAAATTTTGTACTAGTAAACCACTAAAACTGTACCTGTTTTTGATAAATGATGGAATAAGGACAGCAATTTGCCCTTGGAATAGTTGTGTTTAGGGCTGAGCACTTTTGCCCTTAGTACCTCTCTCTCTCTCTGTCCTTCTTGCCCTGCTTGACTTGGAGCCTTCAGCCATGTCTGATTGGATGACGGTGATGGCTTGTTTTGGGAGACTGTGTGTGTGTGATCGGACGCTACCAGTTTGTCAGCATTATGGTTTATTAGTGTCGCAGATGTCCTCACACAGGAGGACTTCCAGAACATCCGCTGTGTGACAACACATTGAATCAGCCACCCACTGGAGTGTGTGTGTGTGCGTGCGTGTGTGTGTGTGTGTGTGTGTGTGTGTGTGTGTGTGTGTATGAAGGTATATGCTTCTGTGGAATGTGTAGATGTATGTGTGCTAATATGAGGATATGACATCAAAATGGCAATAAATTATATAATAATAAGACTGCACAATAATGGCTAAAATGAAAATCATAATTGATTTGTTCAATATTGAAATCATGATTATTTATATCGACAATTTATCTGATATAGGAACAAAATGCATTTAATGGTTTTATTTTATCTTTTTAAATCACTAGAAAACCCATCTTTTCCACATACTACATTATAAACATATATTCCTTAAATGTACAAATTTTTGTAAACTGTAAACTTGCTTAAAAGACAAAAAAAAAAAAAGTTAGCCAATCAGCTTACTGTAACTACGCTCACCAATGCGACAATCAATTATGTAAGGAATAAAACACGACAGGGTGTGCCTTTAATGGAAAATACTCAACAAAGTGTTTTATCCCTCTTATACCATAACTAACATTCTTCTTATTTATTAAAGACAATTAAACTTGTACAGCGGATTTTGTAGTCCTGTGCCATAATACACTTGTCTGAGAGTACTGTGGTGATTGGACCAATATTTAATTTGTGTGATTGTGCATATGCTGTGTATATGTGTGTGTTTATGATTGTAAAAAGTCTGTGCCTGTGCTTCCATAATGCACTTGAATCCCCCTGCAATAGCTTAACATCCCAACAATTTATTACACTCCTGCTTGTGTTGTAATTCCGCCGAGACCGCTGTGTTTGCCTGCTAACGAATTGGCAAGTGACTTCATTAGACTAATTAGTCAATTAGCTAACTGTAGCAGATGCATTCGTCTGTTGAAATGACAAAATGCTTCGGGTCCATGTGGCATTCGGTAAAGGGCATTCTGGAGATAAGCATGATGGTAGTTTAACAGCGCCCTCCGACTTCACTGACACCAACTTTTCCCCCTTAATGGCAGGGAATGAGACAAGGCTGATAAAATACAGTATGATAAACGTCTCAGGCACTGAGAGAATTAAGAGCCACTCAACTGGCCAGTTGTGAAGTGGAGTTTGTGTTCAGTTTCAACCAATTGCTAATCTCATTTATGAGGAATTCCTAGTAGAGTCCTTTTGTGACTGTGGTATGTCTATTAAAAGGTGCATAGAGTCCATAGTGCTGAAAAATGGATTTGCTTTATTAAAAAATGTCTGACATTCATGGCTTTAATGAAGCATGAGAATCTATTTTTTTTTTTTTTTTTTTACAGAATATGACAGAAATGGAAAATAATAAAATAAAAAACAGTGGAAATGGCTGGGCAGAGGAGGTTAGGCTTTCATTGATTAGTCTTTATTTCTTCTCTGCTTCATCCTAGTGAGTTGATTGCTAACATTTGACATTAAAGGTTGCATATTAATAATTTATTGCACTGTTAATAAGTCAGGGTAGCATGGTGGTGCAGCAGGTAGAGTTGCTGCATTATAGCTTCACAGTTCGATCCTGAGCTCGGGTTTCTGTCTGTGTGGGGTTTCACATGTTCTCCCTGTGTCCCTATGGGTGTCCTCCTACCTCTTAAAAAGATGCCAATAAGTGGATAAGCTACTCCTAGCTGTGAATGTGTGTGATGCCCTGTGGTGGATTGGCATCCTGTCCAGGGTTCATGAAAAAAAAGGCTTTGGATCCACCGTGACCATGTTATAGAGTACTAAGGATGAATAAATAATTGTTAACCACACCCCATTTACTTACCATAATTATAGGACAGTGCAGTTCAATTCTCAAATATGATTGGTCAGAAGGTGTTGATTAATTAAGTAGTAACAATGACTGTTTCATCACAGCACAATGTCATTGTTTATTTTTTACTCTAAACTGTCACGCCCCATCATGTTTTTTCCTTACTTGACCTGGTCGCCAACAATTCAATTAAGCCTTAATTACTACTATGTAATATACATTTACTATTTATTAATTAAACATTCAGTACACTGCTATCTGATACTTCAGTTTATCAACAATTAATACATCATTTACTCACTGTCTACAAGTTGCTGATGAAAAGAGGAATAGGGACATAGTATAGTAAATAAGTCACATGGGAATTTAGCAGTACTTGATCTTTATAGCTGCTTGAGCAAACTAAATATGTGGATGTGATGGAAATAGAAGACCTATGGACCACTGTCCTTCCAGGGCAGAAAAGAAATGTAGCTACTCTATCATTATTAACAAATCATTAGCTAAATTAACAGGAATAATGCATTACATACTAGAAACATCTAGTAAGTTTATTTCTTTATACAAGTAAGTAGAAGGTATACCGAGTAATGATCATTTAAATTGTGTAATCTTATTGATGATTAATGTTTGATGAAGACTTGGCTAATAAATTAAATATGTGAGTCTATGACTCGCTTAAAAGATTAGTATGCAATTCTACTGTTATTCTGTTCTACTTTTCTACTCTTGCTGTGTCCCAGTTCGACTACTAGTACCATGCATTAAAAGTATATACTCTTTTTTTTTTTGAAGAAAAAGTACATACTTTTGAGTGTGTAGCGAAAGAGTATGCAAGTACTGGGACATACCAACCCATCATGTAATGGAAGAGAACGCTGTTGCCTAGTTATGCACTCTGTCACCATAAACAAACTTCTTGCTGCATTTCAGCTTTTCTTCATTTGTTATTCCTGACAAAACTGTGGTTAGTGCTTAACATTGAAAGTCTTACCCTTAAATACTGAAGATGCATCACTGACGTTACAGTCGTCTGCCTCGTCCTCCTCCCTCAGACCAGAAATAGTAGACCATCCCGGTACCTTTGGGATACTCATTTCAACATACTACGATTTGGGACACACTAATTCTAATCTCGATACTATTTAGGATGGATAGTAGGCGAATTGGGATGCAGCACCTGTCTTAACAAGAGGTTGGGTCAAATGCAACGTGACCTTTGACCTGTGCTGGTTTAACACACTTTTAATGTACATTATTTAAAAACATGTTAATAGTTATATTGATGTTGATATATTAATGCTGTTACATTGATTTTGCTGAAGGAGGTGCGTTTATCCTAGGAGCGTGGATCTCCTTTCTACACACACACAGACTATGCACACATGCAATGAATATAGATTAAGTAGTATATTAAAAAAGACCCTACAATCAGTCATCTAAAGCTGAACCTATTTGGACATTGTAATTGGTTTATTAGCCGGTATTATATTTCTCCATCTCTAAATGTACAAAAATGTGCAACATAAGAGCTTTTTAGGTTAATATAAAATAGTTGAACTAATTACAGAGTCAGAGTGAGAAGAAAATCCCAAGATGCACATACACATAATGTTTGGAAATATTCCTGCTACTGGCTTCAGCTTAAGCCTTCGCACAGCAATATTACAGAAATGAACATACCATATAAATTATTACAACAGTTGTGAAAGACAAGTTCAATACAAAATTTAAATTAATAAAAAAAAAGATCACAGAACTTATATACAAATTGTGACATCAAACTGTGTAGATTGTAAACTACAACATTATTGCACAATATGGAAAACAAAAACAAAAAGTGGAGCTTTCCAGAGGCAGAATACGAAAATAGAAGAACGATCAGATATAATGAAAAGGTTATGGGAAGTAAATCGAGTAAAGGAAAGAAAAACAATGTAATGATTAGCAGCATGCCACAGAGCCTTTGTGATTTGACGCCTGGTTTTTAAGCTGCAGTGGAGGATAGCTTCCTCTAAAATTTCAACAAACAATTCTGCAATTACAAATTTAACAGTGTAGCTAGTATTAATTAAGTTATTAATTCATTGTTGTACTGAATAAATATAAAAATCAAATCTCACTGCACCGTCACATCGGTTAAACCCTGCTTAAATCGGATCCTATGGTGTATTTGAGTTCACTGTTTCAATGAAGCAATGATAAATATTTATTGGACTGCAGGATTTTAAAATGTAATTTTTTAGAATAAATTCCCAAGATTAATATGGTTCAAAAACAGATGGAATCAGAATCAGAATCAATCAGAATCGATCCAACAGCATTCAACAGCTCTGTGATATAAGTAAGGAATAAAACACGTAAGGGTGGTGTGATGTGTCATGATGCAAAGCGGATTATTTTCCTGTAACAGTGTGTCCCGAAGTCTTTTATATTTGCCACAGCGATCTGTGTTTTTTTTTATCCATTTATTGTTGCGATTAAAACTGTGAAATGTCCACAAGACAAGTTATCACTATAGCACTTATGTTGGCAGTGGTGGCTCAGTGGTTAAGGCTCTGGGTTACTGATCAGAAGGTCGGGGTTCAAGCACCTGCAATGCCAAGCTGCCACTGTTGGGCCCTTGAGCAAGGCCCTTAACTCTCTCTGCTCCAGGGGTGCTGTATCATGGCTGACCCTGCGCTCTGACCCCACCTTCCTAACAAGCTGGGAGATGCGAAGAAAAGAGTTTCACTGTGCTGTAATGTATATGTGACAAATAAAGGCTGCTGCTGCTTCTTACAATACACAGTCATGGAAAACTTACAGACTGTTACAAAGCACTGACACTGGAGACTTCTTCCATAAATGTTAAATAAACATTTTCTTATTGAAAGCTTCACCACATCAATGATTATCAAAGGATTATTTTATAAAACTTGGAAACAACAACAAAACTGTAGTTCAGTTAATATGAGTCTCTGTGTAAATCTGTTCCATCATGCATAGTTTCTCCCATCTGTGTGTATGTATGAGAGTTTGCTTGGGTGTCAGTAAGAATGTTTTAACAAATCTATAAGGAGTCATGGCAACAAATGTAGGTGGTTTGATGAAGTAAAGCATATCATGCAAATACATAATCACTTAGATAAAATTAATGCAGACCTATGCATAGCTGATATAATCACTATCTTAAAATAAATGAACTTGTAGTTGGTGTCTCATGGTGTCACTGGTTGTCCTTCATAGATTTACTACATTTGCAAGTTTCTAGAATGCAGCTGTTTCGGTCTGGCCTTCCAAAGACAAGCAAATGTTGTGATGGCAGCGTCTTTGTGTGATTGTGTGTGTGTGTGAATGTGTGTCATTGTTCACTGGTGTTATGTGAAGTTTGTGCGTTCAGGCCACTCTACACTGTGGAGCGGCGATCAGGTTCCTAATGATAGATTGGTTTCATTTACCTGCTTATGTATCGAGTTAAGTCATGGTGAGGTTAGCAAGAAGTGTGTGTGTGTGTGTGTGTGTGTGTGTGTGTGTAAACCCAAATGCCCCTGTGCATAATGATGTATATGGTATGTGTGTGCCCCTGTGAATGTGTGTACAAGCCTACATATTGCTAGTGTACGGTGTGTGTGTGTGTGTGTGTGTGTGTGTGTGTGTGTGTGTGTGTTGGTAGATTGTTCAAGCTGACATGCCTTTGTAATACATGTGCATGTTTGTGTTCAAGTCTGCTTGTGTGTGTGTGTTAAAGCTGTGTGCTTTTGTGGTACACAAGGAATGTATAATAAGTAAGTGTGTGTATCTGTGTGTGTGTGTGTGTGTGCATGTCTCTCTCTCTCTCTCTCTCTCTCTCTCTGTCTCTCTGTGTGTGTGTGTGTGTCTGTGTTTGTGTGTGTATGCAGCAGTAATGATAGAGTTCGCTCACAGACAACATAGATATTTAATCCAAGAAGAGAGGATCTCCTGGCCTTATTTGCACTCACTGCACACACACACACACACACACACACACAGAGCCACAAATAGAATCTATATGCATTAATCACGAAAGAATCCTGGCCTTATTTGCACTCACTGCGCGCGCACACACACACACACACAGAGCCACAAATATAATCTATATGCATTAATCAAGAAAGAATCCTGAAAAGATTGTAACATTAACTAACATAAATTTGTGTCTACATCCCTAAAAGAGCTACAAAATTATAGTTTTGCTTATCATTCTTTTTTAATCAGTGACATCTATAGCTATATGGTTAGATGCTGCATGCTTTATTCTATATAATAATTGTAATAAAAATGTATTATTTGTTATATGGCCAGGTTCTGTGATGTAAGTCACGTCAATATTTATGCAAGGAACGTTATGTGTATTCAGAGTCAGGTTACGCACATGCTTAAGTCAATTTTCTGGATTCCCCATTTAGATTATGCAAATCACCTGTGTGTGGTTTACATCTCCAAGGTTGCCAGATTTTTCTTAAGAAGGATCTGAGACAGAGTTTTTAATAGTGTCTAGATCACTGTTTTAAAAACAAGCATTTGCCTTTAAACCTGAAAAAAAAAAAACAGGCATAGAAGATGCAGGCTGAAGATGATGGATTTTTTTTCTTTGCTGTCAAAAATGGAAAAAAAGAGTAACATTTAATAAGAGTGTAGTATATTGTCAATATATTACTGCATAGAGACGCCTTGTTTAATTTAACAAAATAGTTTCCATTCTCATTATTTAGTTGCTTATAAAATAGCACTTGATCCAGCACATCTTATTATTTTGGTTTTTATTATTTGTATATTTTTTGTGATCTACTTAATGTAGCCATGAGATATAAAATTATGGTCATGTAATTGCAATGTGTACCCAAGATATAGCCTATTTTATCATACTTTTATTTATCACAATTGTGTTTCTGCCCCATGAGCATAATTCCCATGCACCTGTCTGAATAGTACTTAAGTCTGTAGTTTGGTCTGAGGTCTGAGTGACGATGTGCACAATTTCGGTATTAAATCCTCACTATGTGCACTTAACTCTGAATGCAGCAAGAGAATGGGCAAAAACAGTGAACAAGATATGCTACGCTTCACAGAGGATTATTACAGTACGGCAAAGCCATGATTTATAAATAAAATATAAAACAAAGCACTTATCATTAAGATGAATTTTTAGATCCCTGTTTTCTGCTGTAGTTTTTAACTCACCATCTGCTTTCTGAACTAGTGATTATTCCTGCATCTGAGGTTCAAACGGCTCATTTCCTCTCACTGTGAAACATCTCCAGATTTAGAGGCAAAAGAAACAAGGTATTCTTCTTTCTATTAGCACATCCTGCCACGCTAATTTACACCTTTATTCATATTTGTTGCGTTGGCATCAGTGTTTATGTTTTGCAATCATCGTTTATTGGCTTATCTGGGTTTGAGTGTGTGTCATCGTTCTCTATCTCTCTCTCTCTCTCTCTCTCTCTCTCTGTGTGTGTGTGTGGTCTCTGTATTTAGCCTCTTTGCAGTATCTAGGCTGAGAGCAAATGGAGCTGATTGTATTTGGGGTTTGGTGTGTGATTAACTAAAGTGTGGTGCTTGATTAAACCCTCTTATCTCATAATCCACTTTACTCTGATCTGCCTGATTAACTTACTCTCTGTAGGGTAATTAAGGTGCACACACACACGCACGCACGCACACACACACACCACATAGTTTCACTATTTCATGCACACAATTACTCAGTGGCTCAATTGTAGCCCATTATATGGGGCAGATTTTCGATTCTCCACACACACTCAAACACAGAAATCTGGACTTCCTTATTTAATTAAATGGCAATGGTTTAATGATGTCTAATGTCATGATGTGTTCTAAGTGATCAGTAATTATTTAAACTGTGGTTAAAACATGGTTTTAAATATAAAAAAAACATTCTGCCAATACTCATTAACCCAGCATTCACTCTTAGAACAAAGTGTTCCCCAGGAGTTCTTTGGATCATTAAGAGTTATTAGCCTCCTAAATGGATTTTACTCGGACAATCTGTGGTAGCGCTCTATCTAGAACCTTTATGAATTCCCGCAAAAGGACAAACTAAATAACGTTTAAGGCTGCTACACTGAACCTTCTTTCAAAAAGTGTAGAATAAGGTTGCACAAAAAGTCATATTAAAATCACATCATCTCGATCATCTCGATTTGTCTTTAAATGCTATTTGGTCCACCATTATATAGACAGAGTGCCACTATTCCCCTTAATCATTGTGATGTTGTACCACGTCATCTCACGCACACACCTGAAGCACGGTGACTCAACATTGGAAAGCTATCAGCATCTCAGTAATTCAAAATGCAGATGAATGCTCTGCTATAGTAATCTAGGATTTTTAATAAATATACATTTTTGCTCCTTACAGAATCAGTCAAACAATTGTGAGACCTGTGATCTCAGTTCTAAACCAAATATTTTCCAAACCAAACCGAATATTAAAACCATAGCCTCTGACTTAAACTGGGAGTTCATTAGTCACATTTGCAAAGAGCGAATGTGTGCATGCATTAAAAATGTGTCTAACTGGGTTAAATACTATTCTGTGTAATAAGCTGCTGTGCTCTACTAATTCACTTATAGCTAAAGATCAGGAAATGACCTCAGGGCGTGACTTATTAAAGCTTCCACCTGCTGAAACCTGAATTACATTTACTCTATTTTCTAATTAATTAACAGTGTATAACTAATGCATATGATCCGCATTGTTATTGTAAGAGAAATTATTATAGGTGCCATTATTATTAAAGAAAAAAAATCATTGTCATTATTATCTAAGTGAACAAAATTGTTGCTACTTTTTGGAAATCATTCATGATCCCAGTTATACATGCTGAGACTTTCATACTTGACAAAATGCCATGCAATATCTATTATTGTTATAGTATAGTAACTCTTGTATTGTACTTTTTTTTTTAAAGTTATGATTAATCATTTTCTGGAACTCTCACTGGAAAATCAAAGTTAGTGTTGAACATGTGACAGGCTAGTTCTACCGCTTCTTATACCACAGTGCCGCTGAATTCTCAAATCTGATTGGTCAGAAGGTGTTGATTTATTTTCTATAACATCAGTGATTGCAGTTATACAGCCTAATAAATCACACGTTTATATTAATGCGTTCATTCTAATACGTTACTGATTCTATAGTAACAACTTATACAGAGACTTGCATGGTGGACGCTCCACATAAACAGATTAAAAACATCTGTAATTGTTGATATAGTGGAGTTTTTTTCTGAGGAGTTGCCTTTTTAGCATTTTTGGAAGGAGTCTCTAGTCTTGATGCAGAGGTAAAGTTGTTCCTTTACAATTTTTTGGTAACATGCCAAGCTGAATTTTTTGCCTCGTTAACTTCGAGAGAGAATAGAAGAGAGGCTAGTGAAGGATCGACTGTTTATAGCTGCTATGATGTAAGTAATAACAAGAACTAATTTGTTTCATGAACGTTCCACAACATTAAATGTATGATGTGCTGTTCTTTATAAATTTTAAAAAGCTGTATGCTGTTGTATAAGAGGAATAAAAAAGTGCTGTTATGGGAAGATTGCTAACTTCCACCAGCCTAAAGGAGTCCACCACACCCC